CATCATCCTGCCTTGACCACCATTCACCGAAGAGCTCTGGTGGTGTCCAGAGGGTAGGGTGAGAGTGTCGTCGGGGTGGGCTCTGACGATGGCAGTGTGACGTCAGCCCGGGGACCTGCACCCTGTTTTCCAGTGCCACTGTGCGCAGCTTGCGTTGTGTCTACGTCTCTGGCGGCAGTGGTGTGCAGCCCCCCTTTGGTAGGTGCAGCTTCCTGGGCGCAGAACTGTGCTCATTTGCTTAAGGACTGCCGGCGGCTGCTTTTGCGATATCAGAGGAGAAGTGAAGGGTTGCAACAGAAACTGAAGGAAAAAAAAAAAAAAAAAAAAAAAAAAAAAAAAAAAAAACCACCCTAAAATACTTTCTGGAATTTTCAGAAAATGTTGTTGAACTCGATCCTTGAGAAGTCAAACAAGGTAAGGGTCGTCCTCAAGAAGGTGGTCGTTCCTTCTCCAGGTAGAGGACTTAACTCACAGGGACCCCGCTGCCTCAGAAGGGCCTCTGCGAGCACAGCACCATCCCCAACTCAGTCTGACCGTCAGCAGGGCCCGTGGGCTGCGCAGTCCTGCTCCACGGTTGCGCAAAGCACCACACCTCCCGTAGGCCTCTCCTCAATTCACAGATGCGGAGCTAGAGGCCCAGAGAGGGTTGGTGACTGGTCCAAAGATTGCGCATCAGAGAGGGGGTGACAGAGCGCAGGTCTGGGTTGAGTCTGGACCCTGGTGCCGACAAGCCTCTCTGTGGGCTCCCAGGACAACGCTGAACAGGGAGAAGACCGAGATGACAGGAAAACAAATGTAAAACACCACATTCAGGCCCAAGAGCCTGGTAGAAGTGTTCCCTAAGCGGGTACGTCAAGGTGGGCCTGTCAAGGGCCCTGAGAGTAAGCCTCTCCTAAGCGCGGAGGAATCTACCCACTAGAAAACGAGATTCTAAGGCCAGCTGTACAGGACAATCGCTCTGCTCATGGCATGTAACCCAAGGCATGAGAAACTGTCACCCCAAGCACCCAGAGAATAGAGTGATCTGAGCCATCTGCCAGTGCCCCAGGGGGAGCACAGAAGGCTCTGTGTTGGGATTTAAAACCTGGAGATCTTAGGTAGGTTTGTTCCATCTCCCCTGATAAAGACATAGGACATGATAAGCTAGCCCCTTTGTCCTCCTGAATTAAAAGGATTAAGTGTCTTTTAGAGATTGCTGTCCTTTAGGTCCAAGCATAGAAATTTATTGAATTTCACATTGTCTTGATAACAAAACTTGGGGAAATAACAGTCAATGTGTGGGAGACCCAGAGTTAGGAACAAAAAGGGGAAAACTGCGCCTCCCTTTTTACTTGAATTAGAGGGAAGATTCCATGTCAGGGAAATCAATCCAGAAGACAAAGGTGAGCAGCAAACTTTCCCGGGTCATTTCCTGTTGACGCAGGAGGAAAAGCTTCTGGTCTGTTTACTGGGAATCTGTTCAGTGCTGAAGGTCACTAGTACAGGGAGCAGTGGAGAGAAAAGATGCCTCTGTCACAGGAGTGATGGAACAATTTGTCTGGCCTGCACATTCCCATTTTTGCTTTTTCCGGTGAGTGCAGGGGCCGCGGAGCCTCCCTCTCTGAGCCTGGACCACAGTGCCTGGCTCCTGTGTGTTCATTCTCTGACATTACTCCAAGAGGGGGAAACTCCCAGCAGGGCAGAACCCCCATCTCCACCAAGGACCTGAGGAGCCACTTTGTCACCCCCCATCCTGTGGAGACTCCTCGTCCCTGAGGATCTCTGTCCTGTCAACTTTCTTCATTCTTTTTCATACTAATTAGTAAGTAAAATTAACTACTAACTCTGGCCCTCAACCAGAGCACGTGCCCCTTCAGCGTGAAGTTCAGCTCCACTTCTTCCATCCCTATGTCGCTAGTGTCCGGCTCAGGTAGCCCCCCAGTGAATACTTGAAGAACATTAATGCAGCATTCATAAATAATTAGATGTCATATTTATTTATTTTTTCTAAACAGTCTCCTCATATTTATTTTTAAAGAGAATAAAAAATTTTAAAAAACATTAGAAACCATACAGAATTTCACTAAAAATGACAGGAATTCAACAATGGTTGTCATATCACATATTACTGTCTTCAAATTAGTTGTTCAGATCACTGGCCCTAATTGTGCAAAGTTATAAGTGTCCAAAAAATTAGAAAAAAATAAAAGAGAAACAGAAAAAGATTAAGCATTAGCTACTCCTTGCATAGACCAGCAGAAATCATGAATAATTAGAAATAGCCACAAATGTTACAAATGCTTTTGTTTACATCATTTTTTTTCATACCGAGTTGGCCACACCATCAAAGCTATCCTAGTTACAAAATGGCCAACTGTCGCATTCATGAAATGATGTTCCTTTGTTCATTTCACCAAACACAAATCTACCGAGCACCTGTCCAGTGCCAGGGGTCGATGCCAGAAATCCTGTGGGGGCCGAAACAGAAACCTGTCCTCAGGAGTTTCCAGTCTACCTGTGAGCTGCAGCAGCAGGACAAATATGAATGAAATAGCGCTCTGGTGACATCGCTATGACCCTGGGAAGGATAGGATAAGAGCTGAGAAGAACGTCTGGGAAAAACGGAATGCCACATGCATGAACTACTACAGAAGTCAGTGGAATCTGGGCTGGAAGGGAGCTCTTGATGCCTAAAGTAGGGTTGACAGGGAGGTCCACCAGCATGGATCTCCTTGAAAGAAGAGAATTGGTCTCCAGGTTGGCCAAACATGGCCCTGATCCCATGTGTTGACGTGTACAGAGCTGGCTAGCATGCTCCTTTACCCCCTCCGTTGGCTGCAAGCAATGCAAAGCCCCTCGCCGAGGTGCTGGCGTGTGATGATGTTGGTGATGCACTGCCTATAGCTTCCAAGCAGTAAGCGTGATCTTGGCTGGGTGAGAGCAGACGGGCAGAAACTGAGGCTCGAGAAAGAATGCTGTTGTCTCAGAGCGTGAAGACTGGACAGCAGAGCCACAGCACTGGCCCCCAAACGCAAGCCGCTTCCTCAAACTGGGTTATGCAGAGTACATTTTCTGCACCCTCTCGCTGCAGGTTGCAGGGGAGCCATCACCGCCTACCTAGCCCAGCTCACAGCACTCACCCACCTCCCACCACTCTCACAGTACTCATCCCCAAATCACTACCCTCTTCATGAATTAGTAAAACCCGGATTCAGCCCTGGGTCGAGACCTTTCTTCTGGTTAGCCACTGTGCTGACTGGACTTAGGGTCCCCTTGGCTGCCCACCACTGTAGATATGTTTGTCTCTTTATTGTCACTGTGCATTGTACTGGAAGTGGTAGATTGGAATTACTTACTGAAATTCCAATAACGTTTCTCTGGTGTTGCAAATGTGGACTCCTCCAGGCCACAAGGAAGCTGTCAGAAATGGATCTGTATCGTGAAGATAAACTAAGTGGAGAAAAAAAGCAAATGGAAAGTTACCTAGGCAGGAAAGTGGTCGGTCGTGGCTGGTCCTTCCAGTCCCAGCTGGTGGCCGGCCCATTGACTATGGCCTTCCTGAGGCTGAGATCAGTGAGGACTTCCACGTAGCAACCTGACTTCTAGAGTTGGGAGCCACCACTGAGCATTCTTGAGGCAGGATAAAAAACAAATGCAGCTACAAAGGAGACAAGGACAATTGTACTATTAAAAATGCAATTAAGAAGAACCCCTGCAGCTTCAGGACACAGCTTTTTCGCTTCCAAGAAAACCTGTAAACTGGGCTCTGGGGACAGATGCCTTTCACCTGTACACTGGACTCTCGTCTACCAGGGGACATCCTCAGAAAGTATGCTAGTAAGAAGACAGCAGTTCTCAACTTCCAACACATGTACAGGGATTGCATTTTAATAACATAGCCCACCCAATAAGCAAAAGTGGACACTCAGGTAACCCACGTAGGGATATGCCCAAGCTACCAGAAACACACCCAACTCCAAAACACAGGGCTTCTCTTCTTCCTCTATTTCTTTGATTGTATACTAATAAGCTTCTGCCTAACAAATCCCTATCTTCTTAGTGGCACGTCCTGAAAATTCTGTTTCTGTGAAGGGGATCAGCACACCTGTAATCTGTCCCATGTGTGGAGTGAACCGGGGCTCCTCTCCCACCCTTGGGGACTCTTCTTAGACCCCTTGTCCAGTGCCGATGAGGGTGGCAGAGGAGGAGCGGAATGGGCAGAGGCGCAGGCAAGCACATCACTCAGGTGGTAGACCTGTGTCTAGGACTCGAGTCTGGAGGAGTCCCGCTACCCATAGTTCTGTGGGGATCAGGTGTTACAGGGGCTCAAGACCATTTTATTAAAGAGGGCAGTTGTGTCCACAGGAATCTATGCCCAGTGGGTAATGGCTGCTGTATATAACCCAACCAGTGACCACTGTATGAAATGAGGAACAATTGTCCTGAAATTTAAGATCATGTTTTCTCCCTCCCATTGATCAAAGAAGAACTCCAAAGGAAGGAGGAAAATAATTAAAAAGTAAAAAACCTTACATAATGAGATTTAAAAGAAAACTTTTGAAGCCAACAAGGAACTGTAGGCAACACTTCAAAGGGTCCAGAATCAATGTTTGTCAATAGCAGTTTTGCATCCTTTAGTTTATCTTTCACGAATATAAAGTGTGATGTTATTAGGAGCCCATCCATGCTGTAATTCTGTTTGAGATTTGATGAATCAGAACTCCACGGACATTCTCCCCACGTGGGCAGTGGCAGAGGCCTGTGGCAGGTGCCTTTCCTTCGCCTGCGGCCAAGGTGCCCTCTGCACAGAACACTCAGCAAAACCCCAGGCACCTTTATTTGCCACACTCTTTGGAGACTTTCTTCGCAGAAGAGAGACTCTCCTGTGACTCAGCCCAGCCCCAAAGTTACCATTTGTTTAATCAAGATAGTTGCTTTGCAAAACATTAAACATTAAACAGTATTTGATGCCTAGTTAATAATTTGCATCCTCTTCATTTGTTGCTGAATCCTTAGAGATTGACACCCACCCCTCAAAGGCAGAGATAACCAAAAAAAAAAAAAAAAAAAAAAAAACTTACCGTTGAAAGCAAACCAGGAGGCTTTAAACTGCTATGATGTTTTCCAGAATGTCTGAGCTCCAGGTTCTGCTGCTAATGGTTCTAATAGGAAAGTCCACAGCCTGGGTAAGTGTTCTTTTCAAATTCCTATAGATGGAGACCCTGAGGTTATTAGGAAGACCGCTCAAGTGGGCTGGGAACAGGAGACACCTGAGCTGTGGAAGGCAAGCTGTCATGTGGAAAGTTCCTGTCTGCAAGACCACATGTGGGCCTGTGGCCTGGGCTGCTGCCGGGCAGCCAGTTCCATGGTGACACCCATCAGTCTTGAGTCTTCAGGGAGCAGGGCCTCCATAAGCGCTTCCCGATAAAACAGATTGGGTCAAGAAAATCCTCTAATAGATGGTTGTAACCTGGCAGAGAGTGAGAGAGCCCTTTGAGAAGCCTTTGCCAGCCACAAACTCTCTCCCCAGAAAGATAGATCTCCATGCTAGCGCTGACACACACACAGCCAGTCTTCCGGCCACTCGGGCCCCACTCAAGGATAAGACCTCCCATGCTCAGCCTTTCAGGGGAGTCCTGCTGGCTGGAAATGACCTGACAAAGGATTTGCTTACATGGATTAGATGGAGGGAGGACCTTTATCTCATTTCTCTCATAACCACAGCGGACTGGATGGGGGAGAGAGGGTGAGCAGGAGCCCAAGGGCAGTTGTGGCAAGCAGGCAGGGGAACTGGTCTTTGAGGGTCTCAAGTGGGAGACTGAAGACCTTTGAGATGAGATCAGCAGGCCCCTTCTGGGCGCCCTTGAGGCCCAAGTGCCAGCTGGCTCTGTGTGGACAGGGGAAAGAGGGCCTTCAGCGAAAACTGCACCTCCTGGCAATCCCAAACCAGCTGGGGCTGGGGTCTGAGTGTGGGCCTCGGTGCAGGAATCCAGCCTCAGCTCGGCCACGCTGCAGCTGTGGGGTGTTGGGCCAGTAACACGATCTCTCTGAGCCTCAGTGTGCTCTTCCGTGAACCAAGAGCTAATCTCTCCCAGATCTGGGAAGGTCATGATTAGATGAGGTCATACATGTGGCTTTCAATAAATGTTAGCTCTTGTGGTTTAAAATTTCCAGAATGAATACAACTTCTCTCTAAAAAAAAAAAAAAAAAAATCAGAGACTGTTCTCCTTTGTTGAGGAGATGGAGGAAGAAAGTGGGCAGGGGTGGGAACAACTTGAGCAGCAGTCTTAACCTCTGTGTCTTACTCGGTGCCTGTGTGTTTTACTTACCATTTTGTTCCATGGGGCATTTCCTGAAGGAAGCAAATTGAATTACAGGCTTTCTTATTTGCGTGTTTTTAGGACAACAGCTCCACTTCCTCTTGCAGTACACTTCTCAGCCACCTGTCTTAGCTGCATAGTAAGTTGCCAAGTGATTTGGTTGGAAAGGGTTTTCTTTTTCAAATTGTGATTTGTGTACGTGTGGTGGCTGCGATTACAGATTGTTATCAGGCCCTGAATCACCTAATGGCTGGTTGGCTGGTTGGCTGTCTGGAGCTGAGATGTAGCGGAAATCCCACAGGTCCAGGGAAAGGCTCCGCAAATGATGGGAGGCCTGTTGGGAGGCCCACGAGAGGTCCAGAGAAAGTGCCAGTCGGAAGGAATTAAGCCTAAAGTTTACAGGCAAGGAGAAGGGTTGATGCAGTCTGTTTGAAGTTCACAAAAGGATAATGGTCCCAAAAAATCCCTTTTTTGCAAGCCCCAGTGAATTTTTAGGGTTAGCGATGAAATTATAAGTCAATAATGGATAAAAGAGAAAATATGAGAGATAGCCTTCGGGCAATGAGCTTAGTCAATTCCAAAGAGAGGATTCGGGGCTTTGGAGTGTTTTCTTACCCAGATGTGTGCCAGACAGGTGGTCGGGAAGGCAGCTCGCATTCCACAGGCCTGCACAGAGGCATCCTGGGGAAAGTGGCCAATTCTCTCAGATGCTTTGGAGAGTCTGGGACATCATCGGGAGACAGAAGCCACATAGCCAGATGTGCTTAGGAGCAACAGCCAACTGCTAGCACATAATGAGGGGTCCTGAGTGCTAGGCCAGGAGCCTTCTGCAGGTTGGTTCACCTCCAGCAGGAACCTAAGCAGCAGGTACTGTTCCTGGCCCCACGTTACAGAGATGGTGCTGGATAACTTGGCCCCGCGTCGTCTAGCTTGGAAGCAATGAAGCTGAGCTTCAGGAGACAGGCCTGGGGCCCTGGCTGAGCACAAGATCGCTCTGGTCTGTATCACACCAGGGGTGTGGCTCTCCTGGTGAGCACAGGAGGCTCAAGCCAGGGTCCCATTTGCTGCGCAGCATGTTGTTAGCTCCACATGCCTCAGAAACTGAAGACAGACAATGGCAGGATTGGTGATGGTGAGCCATTGGCAGGGCACCAGGTGGTCCCCCATGAATTCAGCCATGCAGCAAATAGTATATGGACTCTCTCTGGGATCATTGTTTAACTTAGAGTTTTATATGTCCACAGTCCATTGATCAAAGAGCTATAGGTCAAATATCATTGCTGTGAACTCCAGGGCTTCCTTCATACAAGGTTCTCTTCTGGTCCACATTGGTTTTCCCATATTGCTCGGTCTTGACATCTATCTCCAAGCGGCTGTGTGCTGTTAGCCTTACTCTCTGAATTAGCAATGAAGTTATAAGCTGATCACGGAGTTATAGGTAAATAATACCCCAGAGATGCTAAACTAACTTTCTGACCAGGACTGGAGCACAGGTCTGCCTGACTCATTGTCTGATATAGGAGGTTACTATAAGAATGATGGAGACTGTCTTAGAACTCTTTCCTGCTGTGGTTCTTAGCATGATATGGTGCATGCTGGGTAGCTGCAATGGAATTTGACCTCTGCTAGCGTTAGAAGCCAAAAAGCAATACTGGTTGGGCCTGTCCTGCTGAGCTTGGCCCATTAGGAGAAAGGAGCAAACAAAACCAGCTCACAATTAAAATGCTTGTGTGCTTGCGTCTCTGGGCCCTGTGGGTCCCGGGCACACGAGCTGCAAAGACAGCTGTAGAGACCAGAGGTTGCCACTGGGCAGTATGGAGCACACCCTGCGTACAGCCTGGGCTCTACCTGGCAGGGGGTCAGCCTGCAGGGTGCTTCAGCTCTCTTTCAGTTGCCAGGCTGTGTTTGGAAACCAGAACATTTCACTCGAACATGCAGATCTCCAAGCAATTTTAATTTTGCTTTTAAGAATCAGAACTCCCAATCACACTGGACTCACATAATCTTGCACTGTACTACGAGGCGAGCAGCCTGCGCTCTGGCATTGGAAGAAATCTGAGTCTCCCAGGTCCTGTGGCCCCACCATGCTTTGCCCCCTGCCCTGTACTGCTGCGCCCTGGCTGCCTGGTTCTGCCCAGAGAGTCACACACACAGAGGGACACAGAGAGACACAGTCACTTGGCTGCTATGGAAGCAGGACCCGAGCCAGTTCAGGATGGGCAGGTTGACCAGACTCAGCTTCTAACTGATGCTAGCACTGAAGTCTGCATGGTCCCCAAATAAAGCCTTTGCTTGTTTGTTTGTTTGTTTTGCTGTACTGGGGATCAAACTGATGACCTTGTGCTGGCCAAGCAGGCACTTACGCGGCTGAACTATATCCCCGGCCCCAAATAAGGCCTCTGATGGAAAGGTTTGTGCAGAATGTTGGTCTCTTTCAGACTGAGGAAAGGCGGGAAAGTTGTTTTTCTCCCTCCTGCTCCAATCTACGAAGTCTTCTGCAAAAGGGAGGGATCAAATTTAACTGCAACTTCTCAGAATTTTTTTTTAAGAAAAACTGATCCTAAGCATGAGTCCGGCTCATTAGCTCTGGCAGTGTACACTGGTATTTAGGGAAATCAGGTCGCCGGAAATCGCCTGTGTATATAGGCACGATATATTTATATTCTAAATTCATTAGGGTTTCCTAAACGCAAAAGCAATTCTGCTGTCACAGAGAAACAGCATGGCAGAATACTCGGCAGCCGGCATTTTAAATAAAACATGCTTTTTCTTCATAATTAATATAACAAGCTTTCTTGGCTTAGGGCTTGGCAAAGATCCCAGGGAAAATGGGGAGGGGGTACTGGTGTGACATCCTGTGACCTGACTAGTTCCAGGAGACTGCTGCGCTCTCTTGCCTCTTGCCTCTGCCCCTCCCCCAGCCGGCTCTCAAGTATTTGCAAAAAAAGGAAGAAGAAAATTCCAAGCTCACTGACAATAATGGCTGATAATAATAATAACAGCATCAACCATTTGTTAAGTCTTTACCACATGCTTCAGGTTTAATTTTCTCATTTGAGCCTTCCTACAGCCTGAGGTGGGCACCAGGGTCACCCTGATTTCGCAGATAAAAAAAATTAAGCTACAGAGCCATTAAAATAATCTTCTGAGGATGCCACCCAGTCAAATCCATCTGCCCTGTACTGGCTTCCCTGCATGTAATTACCATGGTTAGTTCATCCTGTCAGGCCCAGACCCCCAAGCTCCCACCATCCAGTGTGGAACAGAGGCAGGCTGGTGGAGGCCTCAGGCTGGTCCCACTGAAGATCCCATGCTGACCCTGCTGCTCTACCTCCAGACAGTACAAGGTTAAGTCTTGCCAGACACTAAATGATTTGTTGGGTGCTTCCAAAACCTTAGCCATGGGCGATGCCACCTTCAGGAAATTTGCCACAGCCCAAACTAGTTTCCTAACACTTTTGTTAAAGAGAATCACCTTGACTCTACCTACACCGATTTATTTTTAAAGGAATTGTCTCTCCTATCAATGAAGAATCAAACAAAGCAAAGCGGTGTCGCTGACACTAGCTGGCTGCTGGCCTCAGGGTGTTGCTGAGCCTAAGACAACTTCTTGCTAGAGGGGAGATCTGCAGGTTGTGGAGGATGGAGGCAAACTGGCGCCACCCTGTGTCAGGATTCAGAGGGTGACAGTGGGCTTGAGGAGGGAATGTCTCTCGCCTTTGATGCCCTTTCTCGCTCTGGCCAGGAACCACCCGCAGGAACTCAGGATCACAGAGGTCCGCCCACCACAGCACAAGCAGCAGGGAAGTGTGGGCAACTTCCAGGACGGAGCTGGTTCCCAGCAGTGGGCCCTCCTCACCTTGCA